TGCATAATTAGTCTTGGGTTAAGGCAATAATTACTCTTGGATTTAGCGGATTGCGATCCGCTAAACTCGTACTTGTTCTAAGTATAAAACGAAGGTCGGTGACGTAACTTACGCTTCCTTAAAGCGCAAAGCTACGACAGCCCCGCTGCAGGAATAGTCTGTGACAGCCCTTCCTCGCTTGGTTTTAATGGCTGCAAATAATGTCCTCCCCAAGTAAATGCAGGCTGTGGCTCATACACCCTTGAAAAATCATCCAAGGATACTTTGACTGCAACAATTTTCATGCCAAGTTGTGAGAGGCAGCATTATCGGTTACTGCTCCACTCATAGAAATACAAAGAGCTGTTTGGACTGCTAAAATCGTCAGTAATGAATTGAGCCATATGGCCCTGCCCTTGCTTACAGATATCCTCCAAAGAAAACAACATACCACCGCCAATTAATTTCATCCCTTACGTTTGACCACCCATCTGTAGTCAAATAATAAAGCGTTGTATTGGTTGCGTGCAACTGTTGATCAAACCATCTCGAAACAGTCTGCAGCAAAGGGCCTGCAAAATTCTTCCGATCAGGGAGAACCACATCTGGACGACGAAGCTGAGGTGCTTTTTGTATATTTCTTCTTTGATGCGTTAGAAGGATACTCTAGTTATTCAAAAATTCATGACAATTAGTTGACTGTTCTTTTCTTGTTCCTTTGGAGAGACCCGGTAGTAGGTAACAGTGAAAAAAGGACTGGCGTGTTTTTTGCAATTGACCCACATTGCTTTCACTTCTTCGAGCGCGACATGACAAGCCATTCGGGACGCTTATCGACCTCAGCAATATAATGGACTTCAAAAACGTTTACATCTACTCATATGAGCTCTAACACGTTCGGGGTTTAAGTCGAAGGCGTTGCAGTGTTTCCACGGTGGTAGCAAGGAGTCAGTAAAAAAATGTCAAAGGTCATCGACTTTTCTTCCTTCCCGTTATCCAGTTGGGACTACTGCAGCATCAACGCACTCTCCAGCAAGATCAACGGCGGACTTGTCAGGGGTAAGATCGACAGAGACATCTGCTTGGTCGGTCATTGCTTAAGCAATCAAGCGGGCACCAGGTTACTAGCCGCTGTGATGATGACAAGAACACAAGAACAAGGAGAATACGGCAGAGAACACATTATCAAGTTCGTGACGGACTTGTGTATGGCTTGAAATCGGTCTGTTTCATAAAGTGTGATAAAGCCCCCACACCCGGACCCAGATCACCCAGCCTCCGCCATATATTTTGTCTTTTACCGACACTGTGAGCAACCAGTGCATGGCAACCCCGTTGCACTGCTACATATCGTAAGAAATTTGTACATAATGGCAGTTCTAATCACAAATCAATTTCCGATGAACTACATTGCTGCGTCGTAACTAAGAGTGCGCAAGTCATCTAGCCAGCAAAGATTACGTCAATTATAAAACCCGCATTTAATGAATTGTAAACTATTTCTTTCTAGATATATAAAGAAAGCTGAAAACATCTGGCTATTTTTTAGCACCCACTACTCATCACAATTCATTTCCTCAGCAAAAAGTCTTGATAATGTTGACGCTATCCGAAGGCTTTAAGGGTCATGCAATCGCGCTGAATCATACGTAGTCACTTTTTGTATAACCTACAAAGGATTGCTTGAACAATTGAGCGAAGTCAGTCATACGAAATTAATTTATATAGCAAGAGTCAGGTTGTATATCTGAGCTACCTATCAGGATTCTGCACGTGCGTGGTGTCGAATGAGATTTATTGCGGGTGTCGGACTGGGTGCATAAACACAGATTGAAGTTTTTTGCACACACCATCCCTGTATTATCATCGCCGAAAATGCAAAGAAGTGTATGTTAAGGGCGTCATCACTTTTCTATTTCAAATCAAGTTCATAGGTTTGTTTGATTGCAACCATGACTACAACGACAAGTAAGGTGGATGTCCACGAAAATCCGCATCAGCTTCAGAAACTGCAGAAGCTCGACCCGCATGATTGTCTCATTGTGGTAGCTGCCAAGACTGGCCAGGACGTGCAGCTTTCCATGGTGCCACGACCGCAAGGTCTTCGGAATGTTCTAGAACTGAAACTTGAAGCACATCGTCGATGGAATACAAGCGTGTTCGTGAGCTTTCTATCCAGTGTGGATCGTATCGAAATTAGTAAGACTCGCACCAACGGCCACGATCAGACAGTGTACTACACATTGGATGTTTTTTTGTGCCTTCCTACGTCTCGACTTCCGACGAGCTCGTGTAATTTGATACACGCCCCTTCTTCACGCCACAAACATGTGCGTCGAACCTTCAGTGTGGAACGGCGCTTTGATGAGTTTGAAGAGCTACGCAAAAACGTGTTAGAAGCTGTGAGTCAAATCCCTCAATGTACGTGCCAGTATTGCTTGGACTTCCTTGTCTATATACACTACAAGTATAAACAACCGCGCAGCATTATGAGGCTTACTTCTGGTTTAAAAAAGCGCAGGCGAATACTCACGCGTTTTATAAATGACTTTGTGGCCATGAGTCAGCGTCAGATGACAAAGGTTGGCAGGCGTAGATGTAAAGCACAAATTTTGATACCAGCTATGCTGAATGCGTTCATACTTAGTTATGCTAGTCATTTGTAGTAAAAGAGATCACAGTTTAATTCCGAAACTAATCTAATAGCGTGCAGCCACTATTGCTAGTTCTTACAATTCATACGTTGTGATAGGTATCCAGTCGTCATCAAAGTCCGTCTGTACGTTTGCAGGTTGCAACTTAATTTGTGCACCCTCCTGTAATTTTGCCACGGATGCTAATGGATCCCAACCACCTGGAAGCGTAATCTCGTCTGGGAATGATTTCACGATGAGAATGTCCTTATCAGAGCTAAGCTGTCTGGCATGACCAAACCAATATATCACCATCCCAGGCCCGTAGCGGTTCACGTACCCTTGTAACTACATCACCAGCGCTTGATGAAACATTGACACAAATTAATCAAAAATCCAACGATTACCTGACTTGCATTCTCTGTCTCATGAGTATGTTGATCTCCGAACATCGCTTTACTGTCAATCCAATTAACCACATGCATTTCACCGCTTACTGCGTTCTTCACCCCGATTGGTAGCAACAGTCTCACGTCGGGCGTCTTGGATAACCCCTTTTCACGAAGCGTATCCTCACTTTCATACACCAACTGACGGTTGCAAAGCGTCTGTAATAGCAAATACTCGTACTCGATGCCCGTGCTATGGCGGACGCGGTCCGCAAACGGCGAGCCGATCGCATCCTGATTGATGCATTCAAGAATCTACAAGTCCACAAGCCATCAAAATACCGCATTTGTGTCTCACCAAATTGGCCAAACCTCTCGAATGACCCGCGCGTAATCGTCTTTCGAAAGGCCTCGATGGTTGGGTTCGTTCGCCATTTCGTCACTCTCATCTCTCATAGCTTCTTTAAAAAAGTTAGAGATTGTAGTTTTACTCATTCCATACTTAGCAGCAAGCAATAAGCGTGCCATCATGCATGGTGAAAATCCGACAGACTTAGCGATTACGCTTAAAGACTCGCCAGCGTCCATGCGTGCCACATACTTTTTCAGGCACTTTTCTTGCCGGTGTATCCTCAAATCTGAACGAAATTGCTGGTGTTGTATCTGACGCTTGATGATGTAAAAAGTTTCTTCTGACACGGAGAGCTGCGGCTCACTTGTACTGGGAAAGTCATCCAGCGAGCATATCAACTCGAACTCTTGCTCGTCCATGTACTCTTAAGTTACCAATCTATACGTACTTAAATGAATTGGCATCGTATGCTATATGTAACTGACCATCAATTATGTATCGAAGTAGTTTACTTGCATTAACTTTGTATGACGGTAACTAGTTTGTGAATCTCTTTTATCAACAATAAAGTGCTTCAAACTTGCGCACACTGTCACAAAAAAGTATGTATCAACGTGATCACGTCGAACATAGATTAACGCTTACAATAAATAATATTCGTGAAATTCTAACCTTGGATTTTATGATGGCAGTATCGGTATAAAAATGCCAAACAGAACAAGAAATATAGTGGGATTGTGTCGTGTGCTGCTCGTTGCAAAACTTCAATATCAAAATGGACAAAAATTAACATTCAACTTTGCACAGGAAACTGCACAGAGGTAACTTTTGATGGTCCGCGTTAATTCGCGCCGAGAATAAAATTCCAAATCCTAAATGGTACCTAGCTTAAAATGTCGAGTACTTAGCATTGCTCACACCATGGTTTAATTAAATTAAATGATACGCTCATCATTTAAATTTAGTAAATAGTTGCTTAAAGTGTTGCGTGAGTTCAACGGTGTTACCGATTACAATGCACAAATGAGATTTCGAATGATAGATCCGTATCAACAAACACACAACGAAAGATCTCATTGGCCTCTCTTAGGGCAGGAATGCAATCTTATAAATAATGCGTTGACAAAAGGTAAGACCTGGCGCCACCAGACTCTGGATCTAGAGCCTTTTATGTACCAAGCACATAGTCTTGCCAAATTTTATTCAAGAATGACATATTTTCCAACTAAGTAAGTTCTAGCTAATACTTTACAACTACAGGGCTTGCATAGCGTGAAGCTATAATGCACAGACATGGTTTTTCATCCGCACATGTACTAATCATGTTAACATTTCTAAGTTTTGCACAACAATCAAGACTATCGCGACAATAGCGTAAGGTCGTCATAGATACGTACGAAATAGAGTAGCCCTGAGTAGCATTATGTGAGCCTAGCAGAATATGTCCTGCGGACCTCAACGCCTGGAAATGAGCAGTTTCATATCGTAGCTTGTGCTATATTAATGTACATTCCACGGTAGCAATCACTCTAGGAGTATCCGTACGAGCATCACATAAAGTCTGAGTACTCGAAAACGTTTAATGCATCGGGGATGCCATCAGTCTTTGCTTAGAGGAAGCTCAGCTAAGGTCACCGACCTAATATTCTTTCATAGAACCAATATAAGTGTAGTCTGCCACTTCTAAGTGATCAAGACTTACCAAGGCAAACGAACAGAAGTGAACAGAAGTGTTCACTGTGTTTATTTTTTTTAGTTGCGACAGAGCCGCCAATATCTAAAACCCTAGGTTTTCCTAATTATTATAGTAATACCTAATTAATATAGCAAAACCTAATTTATAAAGTAATATGCATTACTATTGGCAATCCTGTCACGTGGTGGTTTCTTGTTGCCACACCTATACTAAATTTGTAATACACACCTATGTACGGTCGCACAAGATTGCGCGACCCGCCCTTTCTCACAAGGGCACGTGTAATCCCGTTATACTCTCCCACATTAAAATCGTGAACATCCCCAACTCACATTTAATGGTCGCCTCATACGAGGCTCGCGTGTCTGAGACACCTTAACGTTCTTTAAGAACAACTTTAAACCTTCTCGGCTCTATGAGCATTGAGTCTACGACACGCAAAACACCCAGCCTAGCTGGCAGCGAGGGCACCCGCGGGCAAAGTCCTTTTTCTGCTGCACAGGGTGCATCTTCGGACAGTACGTCCGTGGCATCACGGGAAACACATCTCAAGCGCTCAGCAACTGGGGGCAACACAATGCACCCGCCCCGGGCAACGGATTTCCTCGTCGTGGAGTTGGAGGAAGTCGACTACGAGTCAGACACTCCTTTACCAGCATGGGATGACGAGGAAGATGAAGTATGCCGACGGCGTGACGTGAGCCTAGCTCAAACCCTGCGGATACTATGTCCAATCCCCGACCTCTCGACTTCAGGGAGAGGTGGTTTTATAACCAATCGCCTCGACGAGACACAGGAACAGCAACTGGAGGCTGCTCACAGGGCAGCTCTCAAGCGCTCATATCCACGTTCGGTCTAAGCCCTCGTGTCGAATACGGCTTTTGCTCGGCGGATCCCGCTATTGAAGCAAAAGACGCGATCACTCGATCGTAAGGCGTCTACGTAGCCACTACACAAGCTGAACTTGATCAGCATAAAGCTCTGCGAGCTCGCTTTTTAGTACCCCAAGAGATCAAAATGGATCGGTACCGCGCTCGACTTCAAGCTCAAACAGGAGTTGCTCTTATTCCCACAATGCGGACTATTCCTGTGATGCTCGCCCCTGGCGAAACCACTGCAGACGATGAAAAGCTCGTGAAGCGATGGGTGTAGCGGCTCCGGAAACCTTCATCGCTGTCTAACTTACAGCGGAGCCACATGGAAGTAGACGTACTCGTAGAACGCCATCTTTAATTTGAGTTTGCCGAACTCAAGGCGCAACACCGACTTCCTCCGTATTGTCGCGCATGCGACATATGAAGCTATCCATAACGCTCTACGAGTCTACGACCACAGCAGCTTGAGCTCAGCTCATGATTCTCCGGCTTCCCGGGCTAACCGAGAGTCGCGGTGCGCAAGACGACGCGAAGCGTCTTAATCCCTCTGATCATAAGCGCCTACGACGTCTGGGTAGTCTTGCCGAGTGGTACCTCAAACTTCCACGACTTCTCGGAATTCGAATATCTCCACCACTTCTCAAGATACTGGGTTAAACCCCGTCGGCGACGTCGACCCACAAGGCACTCCAGGTGGTAGGACGCCACCATTCTCATTGAGAAGAGTCGACGGCGGACGATGACGACTTGGTCGATCGCCATCCGGTGACTCGCGACGCTCATCGAGCGTTGGAGGAAAAAGTCCGTCGTCATCGGAGTTTTGCCGAGCATCTCTCCGAGATCGTCTATCGCTGTGCGGAAGACCTCGATAGCCGACAGTACTTTGTGCACCGATTTCCTCGCGTTGATTATCGTGCTCTGTCGGAGCGACTTCTAGCCGTCAAGCAGACGAATACGTCACTTCGTGCGACGGTGGAACGCCTTGCGCCGTTCGAAATGGAAGTTGTTGCACTCCGTGCTCAAAACCAGTTTCTGGGTTGCTGAGAGTCTTTTGCTGCCGCACCGGCGCCAATGCTTCTGCGTTCACTTGCGCCGGATCCCGGTACGGCTTAAGCAAGCCCATATGCAACACCAGGTGGGTGCACATCCGCGTCGGAAGGCTCAGCGTATACGCCAAGACTCACTTGACCACGACCTTAAGATGTCTAATAAAAAGTGGACGAAGCTTTTCGTGTAGATAGCAGACTGCATGTGTAGGAAGTTTTTGGCATTTATTAAATCAGGTCTCCGACCTCAAAGTTCTTCACGTTTCTCCTTCCTCTCCGACTGCGTATTCCTTCTGCTTGTCTTGGCTTTCATCCGTTGCATCGCGAACGTGTCGTAGGACGCTCAGTCTAGTAGACAGGAAGTCCCCGACTTCTTTACGGTGATGGGGCTGACATCGGCTAGCCGTTAGGCTATTCCTACCCCACCAAGCCCTGAGCCATGGGATGGTGACGTCAGCGGGACGCGAGGATTAATAAGCACGTTCACGTAGAACGGTGTATAGCCGGTAAATGAATGCTTTGGATTGTTCAAAGCAAACTCTACGAGTGGCAACATAGCGCTCCAGCGCTTCGGATTCTCAGCACAGACGCTGCGAAGAACGTCTCCAACGACGCGATACGCTTGCTCAGTCTGACCATCGGTCTGCGGATGGTCCATACTCAACTTGGTGTCCAGAACCCTGAAGAGGCTAGACCAAAACTTCCAAGTGAAGCGCGGGTCTCTACTACCTCGGGAGACCATACTGTTGAAAGACACGACAGCGTCGCTGTACCCACACCGTCGATAGTGTCCGGCAATGCCGCAAGATGAAGTTTCTTGCTCAAACGGTCCACAAAGACGACCACACCCGTGTTGCCTGCCGAGTCCTTCGGCAAGCCAAACACAAAGTCGATACTCATTGACTGTTAGCACCCGAAGGGTACCGATTAACTGGACAGCGGTGCCGTGGCATTCGGATAGGTTTTTATCCTCTAACACGTCTCACACGTGCGCACATATGTGTTTATCCATTTGTACAGCTTGAGCCACCAGTATTGGCAAACCACCGAGCTGTACGTCTTCTCACGACTGAGATGGCCACTAAGTGGGGCTTCGTGGGCCTCATAGAGGATACGATATTTTAAATCCTCACCGCGAGGGGCCGCAAGATCGTAGCACATCCGTTGAATAGGTGCTATAATACAGCAGCCCTTTACTCAACGATTATTCGCGTAACGTGCGAAAAAACGCGCCAACGATTTCTTGTCCGAGTTTTCAAACTTCTTGCTACAAAGAGCCTGTAGCATCGCTACACACGTACTATCACTCGCGTATGCGCCGCGGATCAAATCTGTCGCTGACGATGCCACGAGCAAGCTTATAGTCCGTTCTGTGTGACAACGCATCGGCAAAAGCATTCTGCTTTCCTGGTTTATATTTCACCTCGAAGTTATATTCTGCAAAAAATGAGAGCCACCTGGCTATCCTCTGCGAGAGGCGAGGCGCTTGAGTCGCAGTGCGTAGTGACGCATGATCTGTGTAGATCACAAACGGCTTAGAGCCAAGCAGGTGCACCCCGAACTTGACAATGCATACTTCATCGCAAGTAGCTCCTTGTCGTAGACAAGATAGTTCTTCTCCGCAGCCTTAAGCTGACGAGATTCGAACGCGATCACCCGATCTCGGCCCTTAGCGTCTGCGTGCAGCAGTGCACAGCCGATGCAAAGTCCGAAACGTCACTGACGACACAAAAAGAACGAACGGGGACTGGCAACGCCAGTATTGGTGCATGAAGGTTACTGTCTTCAACCCTGTCAAAAGCCTTCCAATGCTCGGTGTCCCATCACCATTCCTTATCCTTCTTAAGGAGATTCGACAATGGCCGTGCCATTTTCCGCATAATTAGCGCTATACTTGTAAGTACTTGGTGAGGTCAAGCCACTTGCGCAAGTCCTTCTGGTTCTTTGAAACCGGCCTGTCCACAATGGACTTGACCGCTCGAAGGTCACGCTTTCCGATGAAGCACTCTTAAAAAGAAATTTCTTTCGTGCCAAAGATGCACTTATCGGCATTAGCATACAGCTTATTTGTGCGCATGCACTCGAGCACCGCGCTCAAATGGACGATGTGCTTTTCCACATCTGTTCTCCCGTACACCGCATGACCGTGGCTGAAGGTGTCGTCGGAGTATGTTTGTGCATACGCCCGATGGGGCCTGAACGACTGCGTCACAATACGATTGAATGTTGCTGGTGCATTTGACAGCCGTTGGGAATCGCCAGCCTCCCTAAGCATCCCGCTCGGAGTACTCACCGCTGTCAGCGAAATGTCACTCGCTCTCAAGAGCACTTGATAGTAACCATCTACCACGTCGAGTGCGCTGTACTTTGTACAGCCAACCGTATTGTTCTAGTGAACATCCTTTCTAGAAATCGGCGTCTGTGCCGGAATAGTGGCAGCGTTTAGCTTGTTGTAAGCGAAGTGATACGCCGCTTGCCGTTCGCCCCCCGGATCCAAAACGTGGAAGCCGAACGGGGAAACTTGCTCTTACGCACCATCTGCCTCTTGCTTCGCGCAAGACAAGGCGTCAATGACATCACAGTGCACCTTGGGCAGGGGTCATAGGCGTGTTACGCAGTATTTGGCTCCCAGAACCAGGTCAATCTCATGACACACACTTCGGTCCGGAGGAAAGACGACGGCGGCTCTTTGAAGATGACGTCTTTAGATTCCTTTACCAAAGAATATTACAGCTCCGAGGGATCCTTTAAAATCGACGATCCACTTCGTACGTTCAGTACCCTTTGAGTGTCCTTCAGGACAGCTTCATCCAGAAGCGACGAAGTGTTAATCTCCTCGTTCGGTCTTATAATGATTACCTCGGCTAAGTTGCCTGCCTTAGAGGCCACGGCAAACGAATCAAAGGACATCTCGCCCAGCTCAAGAAGAGTATCCACCGCGGGAATAGCCGCGAGGGTGATATAGCCGTCTTCATTTCCCGTCATACCGTTGACAAGAGTATATAGCTGTGCACTGTCGTCTACGGTAGACACATTCTGGGTCAGAACTGACGCCCTGCGTCTTGCAGATATCATATGGCTTCGCCGTCTCCTCTCTGTAAAGGCTTTACGTCTCATTGAGACCAGTGAAAACACTTACTCGGCGTCGTCCAGTGTCTCCACTCCCTGCGCCATAGGAGCCTTGATGTACTTAACAACATCCGACGAATAGCTGCTATTTTCGCAATGGATAGCGTGCCACTCCAGGCGCATCAGTAAAGCTGTTCCTAGAATGCCTCGGACCTCATCCGACCATGCCATTATTGGCACGCAGCAACTGCTTCGTTACGTGAGCAAAGCTCAGTGCTTTTGCATGCCACTCCACGTGCATCACTAGGGTCTCGCCCTGGATACCTCGGCCCTTGGCCGACCATGCCATTCTTGGCATACAGT